CCATTTCGGACATCCAGAAAGGGGAATACGGTAGTGTCAGCAGACACAGGTCCAAAAATATCCAGGTGCAGTTTAGTGAGCCGCAACGGCAAGCCTTTTATAAGCTGCGTAACATTCTGGCTTCAGAGGATGTCATCCTGAGGTACCCAGACTATAAAAAGGCATTTGATATAACGACAGACGCCTGAGCATACGGGTTTGGCGCGGTGCTATCTCAAGAGGGACGACCCATTACTATGATCTCGAGAACCTTGAAGGACAGAGAAGTTAACTATGCTATCAACTTATATGCAGTAAAGGACATAAATATCTTTACTGATCATCAACCATTGATATTCGCAGTATTAGAGTTAAATCCGAATGCGAAAATCAAAAGGTAGAAAGCTCGCGTCGATGAGTCCGGCGCCAAAATTTTTTACAAACCCGGCAAGAAAACCTCGTTGCGGATGCCCTCTCAAGACAGCAACTTAACGTTCTGGGAGAGGAAGAAGCTTTTTCTAGCGCAGCCACCATTCGAAGTCAGCTGGCGCATACCCATACTATTGAAACAATGGATAAGCCCTTAAATTACTTTCAAAACCAGATAACTCAGGAGGAGGCACGCTTTCCGTCGAAACGCAGCTTCGTACTCTTTGGAAACAAGAGAACCCATTGCATCGCCTTCACATGCAAATAATCATTGCTCGAAGAGCTCGCGGACATTATCGTTCCTAAAAGCGTAAACGCCATTGATTCATTCATTCATTACGATTTGCATACGCTAGCAATGATACAGGACGGATTGGTTCGGCAATTCCCGGCCACTAAGTTTTGGCACTGCAAAAACCGTGAAACGGACATTTTTTCAGTCGCTGAGAGGCGAGAAGTCCTCACTGTTGAGCACAAAACGGCTCACAGATCGGCCAAGAAAATGTCCTCACTGTTGACCATAACAGGGCTCACAGATCGGCCCAAGAAAATGTGAAGCAGGTACTCTCAGAATACTATTGTACTTCCCAAAATGACTAACTAGCAAGCGAAATCGTCTCTAATTGTAGGACATGCGCTAAGGCGAAATATGAGAGACGCCCCAAAAAGCAGGAGCTTGGCGAGACAGCGGTCCCATCCCTATAGGAGAAATGCTAGAGATAGACATTTCTCCATGGACATTGACAAATTCTCGAAATTTGCCATGGTCCAACCAGTTCCCTCTAGTTCCATCTTAAACCGGCATTACTACTGCTGATGAATGTTTTCCCTAAAGCCAAAGTCATATATTGCGACGACGAACCATCGTTAAACTCGCACACCATTTTGACCATGCTGGAAAACCATTTCAGCGTTAACGTTTCAAACGCACCGCCCCTTCACAGTGTCTCAAACGGACAAGTGGAGCGCTCCCACAGCACTCTGGTGGAGCTCGCCAGATGCTTTAATATTGATAAAGGCATCAGCGACAGCTAATCTTACTGGCCAGATATAATAAATCTATCCATTCGGTCATCGACAAGAGGCCAGCTTACGTAATTCGAACACAGATGAACCACTGTATGAGGTTCAGGATACCAAGATAAGCTCAGGAACAGGGAAAATGCCTCCCGTGAAGAGAAAGTTGTGGAAGCGGACATGGGGACGACAGTCCTCATTAAGGGGAGGGTGATCCACAAGGACAACCTAAGGTAGACGAAGCATGATCATGTTGACATTCGTCTAATAATTTTTTACCATTTTTTATATTTTTTATTCCTAGCCACTTGGCATATGTGTTTTTACACCTGCGTGACCTGCTCGAATCATTGAGCATCCACCATAAGATAGCTAGGAGTTTAGACTTTTTGGGAGCGGCGTTAAAGGTAGTGGCGGTAGATTAGACAAACCGAGTTCCAACTTATTAAACCAAGCAAGATCGATATTAACAGTTAAGTACAGGAACAGATAAATAGTATCACTATAACATATATATATATAACAGTCAATCAAATTCTGAGGTCGGCTAAAGAATCCCAAATTGATTCGAGTCACCTATACGAGATGTTATTTTCTCGGAATAGCAGTGGAGCTGCAAAATTGATTGCTTGCAATAGCTTTTGCCAAAATCAATATAGTTAGCCCTTGCATACTAGATCATGCAGACCTGGAAAGTGTGCAGATAGAGGAGCCCACAGATACCCCAATCAAAGATATATTGACCGTTGCGTTGCGGAGAAATCCACACGGTAAAAAACTGCTCCATGTCACCAGGGGCCACATTTTGCCAACTGGCGCTGAGAAGATCTTGCGCCCAGGAACTCCATGCGGGAGGGATTGTGCACTGCGATATCCAGTATAGCGATCTGCATCCCATCACTTACATGGATGAGGGAATCATCATCATAAATGATCGTCCGGCTCGTGTGAGTGTGGACAACGGCACTTACGTCCGCTTGCGAAGAACCCACCTCATCACCTTCATCGAGAGTGCCACGGTTAACGAAACCCGATATATCAATCATGATATGGCCCAGAAGAGGGCACCAGGAGTAGCCAGCTCGCCTTCTCTGAACATCACACTGGAACACGACATACTTAGCCTCCCGTACCTTCACCGCTTGAGTAGGCGTAACCTGGAGCATATCAAGAGATTTAGGGAAGATGTCAACAACAACCGCTCGCACCAGATAGTACTAATTGCGGGAGCAGTAAGCTGCGCATTGATGTGCGTCGGCCTCACTTATCGGCAAGTCATCCAGGCCAGGAGATCCACGGCCCAACTAAGGGAGGTGAATGTCCAAATAGGATCGGCCGAGGGCGGCCTTAATCTTGAGGGGGAGTAGTTAACTAAGTTAACCGGGCGACGGCAATGACCGATCGTCCGAAAGCTCGCTTCGGCCAAATTGCTGACCCAGCGTCTGGCCGGAAACTCGTACATAGCCGGCAAGCTCTGCCCATTGGAGTGGCCGCTATAAGTTTCACTTATGTTAGGTTTTAAGTTCAGTTTTGATTTTATATTTGATTAATAAAGAGCCATCGCTCTCAAACCTAACTCCGACAATTCGTCATTAAACTCTTATTATTATAAATTTGTCTGAGTCCCTAGGCCAGCAGGTAAAGAAGGACAGTTATCCTTCCAAAATAATCTTCATAATTTGATATTCTACGGCCAGCGGGCTAGAAGACATCAACGGACTTGTCGCCCACCCTCAGCGATAGATCTTCAACTGCGAGTGACCACCCGTGGATAATTATAAATTGCCGACGGCAAATCAACATTTTATCTGACGCATTATATTTAATTAATTTATATACTTTATAAAATTATTTTAAATTTGAATGGCTCCATAATATTTACGTCATTCTTTCTAACGGGTGTATGGAGTAAAGTAAATGAGTACAAATAGAACACAAACAAATAAACATAAATAAAACATATATGTGGATCGAAACATTCCCATTCCCACGGTGCGCATTATAATGCTTCGAGCCAGCCGTCTTGAGATTCATGTGTATAAATGTTCACATATTCAAAGTCTTGCATTTACTCGATTGGCTATTCACTTCAGACTACATATATGTACAGGGTGCGGCACGAAAACTTGCTGATTTGTTTTTGGCGCCAAGCGGCGGGGAGTGATCGGGTAAGGGTGGGGAGTGTCTCATGTTTTAGGGGACTTCCTGAAGTTTCGTCTACTCCGCAGTCAGTCGACATCATGCATTGGACGAAAGAGCAGAGCGCATTTTCCTGTGAGGCTTACTTTTCCAACGGTCGTTTCGTAATTGCCACTCAACTCAACATTCATCCTGTAGGTCGCGTTCCTGGCCGGCAGTCGATTGTTTCGTGGGTGAAAACATTCAGGGAGAGCGGAAATGTGACAAAATCCCATCCAGCTCATCGGAGAATAACATTCGGCAAGCAATCGCAAAGATACCCGTCGATATGCTTGAGAGAGTTCAGCTGAGCTTCGGGTATCGGGTATCGGGTATCTCAGTGCATTGAAAACGGCGGCCATCACTTGTCCGATGTAATCTTCAAAACTGTGTAATGAAAACTTCGACATTTGTGTTATAAGAATGAAAAAAATTGGAATGGTATGTCAACTACTTTTTTTTTGTATAACCTTCTAAAATCAGCAAGTTTTCTTACCGCACCCTGTATTTACAATATAAATTAACGGCATTAACGGCAGAATTTAGCACCCCTAGAACCATAAGTAGATATACAAGATTATTCAATAAAGATCTGTCAAAAAGGACTGTAATGCCGAATGAATAAATTTGCGTTTATAATTGATGGTCAACTCTGCCAACTATATTTATCTAAGACCTGCTTCCAGTCGGGGACTCGGGTGGTAAAAAAATTTAAATATCTTAAAGAATATAAAAATTTGATTTTGTTTTCCGATTTTTCTATTGGCAGCTTATGACACAGAACGATCTACAAACTTTCATTCAGCCGAAAAACTAAGAAATAAGAAACAAGAAATAAAAAGAAAATCAGAGGGCGAAAAATATATTTCTTACTCTGCTTTACTTCTAAAGGGTGCGGCAAGAAAACTTGCTGATTTTAGAAGGTTATACAAAATAAAGTAGTTGACATACCATTCCATTCTCCATTCTCCCTGAATGTTTTCACCCACGAAACAATCGACTGCCGGTCAGGAACGCGACCTGCAGGATAAATGTTGAGTTGGGTGACAATTACGGAACGATCGTTGGAAAAGTAAGCCTCGCAGGCTCTTTCGTCTCATGCATGATGTCGACTGACTGCGGAGTAGACGAAACTTCAGGAAGTCCCCTAGAACATGAGACACTCCCACCCTTACCCGATCACTCCCCGCCGCTTGGCGCCAAAAACAAATCAGCAAGTTTTCGTGCCGCACCTTGTATTATGATAGTTTTTTTTAACCTTAGAACCCTTATTATAGTCAATACGACCCTTGAATTCGGATTCAGTGGGTTCAAATATCTTAGGATAGTATGATCTTATACTAAGACAATCTTTGTGTAAAAATCAATTTTAATCAACAATATTTAATTTGAAATAGGTATCGTGGATACGTCATAGAGATCTGCACTTGTTAACAGTATCTGAAAGCACTTATACGTCGGATCAAAGATTCACTTCCATTTACAACAAACAAACTGGAGATTGGTCCTTACAGGTGAGAGAAATTTGGTTTTGTATGGATTAAATTGTAACGGAACTGCATGGATGGGCAATGTCCGAAATGCTCCCAATGATGTTTTTAAGCAGCCGTAATCCAGTACTCTGGTGCTTTCAAAGTCGTTGATAAACATTCTCGAAAACGGCTAGCCCGATTAGTCTAAATTTTAACACGACCTTCTTAAATATATTTTTTAGTACTTAATCGAAGATTTTTTCTTTCCAATAAATATTTTATTTTTAAAAAACCTTAAATTTAAAAATTTAAGGCATAAATTTCAATTTATTTTTGCAAAACTGCCATATTGTTAAAAAAATATTTATTTTGCTTATTCCTTCGATTAATTACTAGATTTGATTACTAGATTTACTCTAACGAAATCTGTTTGGTTTTTTAATTTCGGTAATCCAGTTTTTTCCTCTTTAACTGTTTGTAACCGCTTAAATCAGTTTATTAATAACATTTTTTTTGCAACGTAGAAAATAACAAATTCAACATATTAAGGTTCCTGCGTTGTCCGAATATATGCTAAACGAACAGGTTTCAACAAAATTAGTCTTTTAGTTTTCGAGAAATCGTGTGGACAATCGTGTGTTAGAAAAACGTGGATTCGAGAAAAACCCGTTTGAAACTAAAATCAGTGCTCTTGAACATAGGGAAACGCCTTGAGGCGCCCTCGCCTTAAGGACATCTAATATGAAAAATCCTTTTAACCACATATAGTACATAAGTTTTATAAGCCATGGGTCAACCCCTTTAAGAGAAAAGGCTTTTACATAGAAACAAAGGTAAAAAACTGAGTAATCTAACAAAAAACATTAAATTTTTATCAATATTAAATGGTATTTTTATACCCTTGCAGGGTATTATAATTTCAGTCAGAAGTTTGCAACGCACTGAAGGAGGCAGCTCCGACCATATAAAGTATATATATTCTTGATCAGGATCAACAGCCGAGTCGATCTAGCCATGTCCGTCTGTCCGTTTCTACGCAAACTAGTCTCTCAGTTTTGAAGCTATCTGCACGAAACTTTGTAGTTAGCCTTCTATATACTCTCACTCGAATATATGTCGGAACGGGCCAGATCGGACGACTATATCATATAACTGCCCTAGGAAAGATCGGAAAATTTTTATATAAAAAATTATAACATTTTCAGTTTTTAACTGAATTTGATCAAATTTGTGATATAGCCATTTTATAATACTCTTCAATTTTGTGAAAATAGGACTACTATATCATATAGCAACCATATTAACGATTGAGAAATTAATACAATTAAAATTTATAACTTTTTCAGTTTTCAACAGATTTTCATCAAATTTAAGGTATAACCATTTTATATTAGTCTTAAATTTTGTGTCAAATTTCATGAAAATCAGACGACTATATCATATATGTAGGTGCCATACAAACGATCGTTTGATGTAGAGGAAAAATGCAAATCTGTGAATGTAAAACTGCAAATAAAATGAAAGCAGATATTCATTGTTTTTTAACATAAATATTTATAATTTATATTGTATGGTATAGAAGTTCTTATGTTTTCCTAATCTAGGGATATTTAGAACCCTCAACTAGCTAAATCGGTCTCAGCCAGTAACCATTAGAAGAAGGTCCAGCTCTCTTGCATATGGTGCAACCAATTAGATGTTGCCATACCGCTCGATGTTATTGTACATAGAAAATGTATGATAATTTACATTATCTTTACAAGAATATATGACAATACTAGCAAGATCGGCGAACTCCGTTTCGCCACCAAATGGCTTTGTGTTATGTAACATTTCGTTTTGTGATTAAAAGATCAAGAAAAAAATTGTATCGGTTTCATTAAAGTGCTCTTTGGGAAACCACAGTTTTCGTTTTTTGGTTTCCCAACTCGAGAACACGCAACATATAAGTGCCCATGTGAAAAACGATGATTTTCTAATTTATCCTGCAAACACTAAGCGATTGGCCTTGTGACTTGTTAATCGTCACTGGGAACGCAAGGCAAACTGGTAATTGCAATCGTTTGAAGTCAAACGGAAGATCAGTCGGAATCATTGGTATTCGAGGAAAACATACATTTTCACCTGCTTACTTTCCGTTAATAATGGTTGCCTCAATCTAATTCGTCATGTCTTTTTACCGAAAGTCGAGTACCATTGCAAAGTCGTGGATTCAAATTACGCAATATCATAGTAACTGTACCAACTTTGAGTTGCAAGTTATGTGGTGAAAATTCTGGTAACTCCATAGAGTTCAAAAACTGCGTTGAATAAATTACTACATCATCAGGATTTGTTATGAAATCAACGGATTTGTTTGTCATCAAATCGCCAACGATTTTTGATTAAATGGTGAAATTCATTTCATGTACATCATTATTCCTTGCGGGAAGAATTGCTCGAATTACTTAACTAAGCATAATTCATATAATTCTCACTAATGTGTGGGAAAACATTTTCAATAACAGCTAATTGAGAGTTTACAAGTCGGCAAAAGTCGTTGGTAAGAGTAATTAATCCAGATGTCGCATCAACTGGGACTTTTCTATTTCCAACAGCTTAAAATTGTTTAGAAAATTGTGCAACACTTTGATTATTTTGAAGTTGAACTCTCATATTAGTGGTTGTCGATAATGTTTTGACGTTATTCCATAAAGGTGATGCCTTCAGGCAAGCATTCATTTCATCTGCTGGGGTTCCACTGGTTCCACAATGTCATCAAGCAGCCAAAGATGTTGTTATTTCGCCAAAGATCCTTCAGTGTGAAGTTAAGTGTTTCACGTGATTTCTTATGTGCCATTGTCTACTCATCCAAACAATGATTGCATCAAAAATTTTCTCATTACACTGGATCGGGAAATATTGTATATTGGAGTATCAATTTTGTTTAAATTCAGTGGTAATTTAGAAGAAGAGTCGCTGCAATTCCAGATGGTGCTAACGCCAAAGTTGTCACATCTTGATCGAATAGTTTCTTCAGATGCATCCAGGAAGAATAGATCACCAGTATTATTGTCCACCGCTTGCATTACTGTTTCTTATACTCGTTTTTGCTGTTCATTCAGCAACGGCATAATATTTCGAAAGAACTCCTGCAATGTATCAACATTGTATTGCAGCTCTCGATGTAATTCTTGGTTGAATGCATCGTGCATCAATAGATTTGGCGCATTCATTCCTACTGCAATCAGTAGCTTGTTTGCAACAGTCAATCTTCTTCAATCAGAATGTATCAACATTGTATTGCAGCTCTCGATTTAATTCTTGGTTGAATGCATGGTGCATCAATAGATTTGGCGCATTCATTCCTACTTCAATCAGTAGCTTGTTTGCAATAGTCAAGCATTGTCTTCAATCAGAATCAATCCTTCATTGTTGGTTTCATCGATTATTTGGATGTCAGGATTATTCGTTTGATTGTGTAGGCGGTGCAAGATATTTTCACATATGTCGTCTTCGTATTTGTTACATAACTAAATTGGTTGTGAAGAAAAACATGTGGTGATGATAATTGCGAAAAGCGTTCGAATTCGGTACGCATTTGATGATACAACTATCATGAATTTTAAATGACAATAATCGCCACAGTGCTTTGTTAATACTGACGTATCTGCCCATTTGGAAGTTGCTGATATCGTCATTTGCATATTCGACGCAGTAGAAAACACAGCCATGTCGCTGCTTTTTGTGTTGTACTTGCACAAGTATTTGAATAATTTGACCGAATGACAACTTTTAATGTTTGCATGTGTTCCGAAAATTCGTGATAACAGTGGGTAATAGGGTACAATGAACTCATTTCCCCTCTCAATCTCTTGATTCTTCTTTTGAACCCCGACGATAAACTGGATATCCATCGTTCCCTGTGACTGTTTCAGCAACTAATGGTAGCGGATGTCGTTTTTTGGAGTTTCCATCAGCCATACAAAGCGATAATGGATTTAATGCACCGCATGGTCCATGCAGCATCTGTGCCGTCACAATATCGTGTAGATGGCGATCGGTGACTGGATCAAGAATTTCAGCTGATATGATGTCATCAACTTCATTTGAATGTAATTTTTTCAGCAACCAAAATTAGGAGCATACTATAGTCCACGCTTCTGTCATTCCACCGAGTAAATATAACAACGCGTGTCACCAAAAACTCGATACTTAGTAAGCACATCCATCATAACCTTGAGTTTTTGCTGAAATACTCTGGAAATTATGTCATGGCGATCTTGCGGTTTTTGGCCCGGTTACAACTCACGTTCAATTTCCGTCCACTTCGGATTGCATGTGAACGTAAGAAATAAATCCGAAGTTCCATAATTTCGCATATGCGTTATAGCGTATTCGTGCATGTGGCGTTGGCTTCCGATTTCAAATTTTATGAAAATCAGACGACTATATCATATAGGTGCCATACAAACGATCGTTTGATGTAGAGGAAAAATGCAAATCTGTGAATGTAAAACTGCAAATGAAATGACAGCAGATATTACTTCATTGTTTTTTAACATTAATATTTATAATTTATATTGTATGGTATAGAAGTTCTTATGTTTTCCTAATCTTGGGCTATTTAGAACCCTCAACTAGCTAAATCGGTCTCAGCCAGTAACCATTAGAAAAAGGTCCAGCTCCCTTGCATATGGTGCAACCAATTAGATGTTGCCATACCGCTCGATGTTATTGTACATATGTATGAAATGTATGATAATTTACATAAACTTTTAAAAGAATATATGACAATACTAGCAAGATCGGCGAACTCCGTTTCGCCACCAAATGGCTTTGTGTTATGTAACATTTCGTTTTGTGATTAAAAGATCGAGAAAAAAATTGTATCGGTTTCATTAAAGTGCTCTTTGGGAAACCAGAGTTTTCGTTTTTTGGTTTCCCAACTCGAGAACACGCAACGTATAAGTGCCTATGTGAAAAACGATGATTTTCTAAATTTATCCTCTATAGAAGACGCAGTCGGCGCGTTGATAACGGGCTGATGACAGTGGCTATTG